TTAATAAAACCAGGTTTCAAGACAACTTCTCAAGCCAACATAACCTTCTCCAAAAAAAACCACCAATAATCAGGATAGGTACAAGAACTATTTGCAAGCAATGTTCTGTATATTCTTGACACTGCCTTCAGCAGTACTGCAAATTTCACCCTCAAGTTTTCAGCAGTGCACAAGTAGTTTCTACCACACAGCTGACATTTATGGTAATATCTAATCACTGCGTGAATGTTGTATCAAAATGGAAATAATCTTGGAGAAGACTTCTAAAAAAAAAAAAGGGTCCATAAATTCTCAAACTGAGAATCATCAATATATTATGCTAAACATTAATGGTCTTCAAGGTCAATGTTTTCCCTGGCTCTTATGATAATAATACGAGCTATACAAAATTAAATATATGAAATTGATATAAACTCATAACACATTGAAGCACACCAATTAAAAAAAAAAAAAGACATAGTAATTTTTTTAAAATATCTTCTGTTTCTAACATTGCTTATTCGCTGCCCTCTGAGTGCTGTTAAAATCAGGGAGCAGGTCATTCACCAGCAAAAGCAATTATAAAATGCAAATGACTGAGCATTTGTTGTCAAGATTGACTAGATAAAAAGGGTCTACTTCATAACATGTTTCCAAGCAGATTACATAATTAGGCGTTTGTATTTTAAACAATAGGAAAGAATACAAGCCTTTAGCACTTTTGACAAAGGCTGCAATTAAAAAATAGGTAAGCATTGTAACATAAATTCTATTAAAAAGTCACAATTACATTTTCCTTTGATAAATTAGAAGGCACCATCTTGTGGTTACTCCTCAGGAATGCAGTCAGGACAGCCTCCAGCCTGCCATCTCCTCCTGCCTCTTCCTGATGTGTCAACTGGAATGTCAAAATTCTGCCACAGACAAGATCAATGCTTTGTCATTCCCATACTCTCTCTGAAAAAAATCAGTGAGAGTATGTACTAGGTAGGACTAAAGAAGTTATTTAGCTCAAAATACACCCCAGGTTATCACATTATTCAAACGTGTTTCAGGTAGACAATAAATTCAGATTTATTGTCAATTGTAGCAAAACCACACTTAATTTATAGTAACCTTAAGATCAAATACTGCTATAACCTAGAGTCTGTGCAGCTCAGTAAATCTGCATGAATTTTTGAGCCAGCTAAGATTAGAGATTTCTATTACAGAATCACAGAATAGTAGGGGTTGGAAGGGACCTCAGGAGATCATCTAGTCCAACCCCCTGCCAAAGCAGATTCTCTACAACAGGTTGCACAGGAAAGAGTCCAGGCAGGTTTTGAACATCTCCAGAGATGGACTCTCCTCAACATCTCTGGGCAGCCTGTTCCAGTGCTCTGTCACTCTTATTGTAAATAATTTTTTCCTTAAGTTTGTATGGAACTTCAGGTGTTCCAGTATATATATATTCTTGTTACAATTACATTATCAAAACCAAACATTGTGCATTTTGCAGAAGGTGTTTGAAATTTTTGTAAACAATTTATTTTGAGCAAGAGTCAACCAGTTAAGTTTTTGCCATCTTCGAAGACATAGTTAGTCTTATATACAGATCACAGTTCAGCATTGAGAATTTCTTGTTCAATAGAATCTACAGTTGTAAAAAAACACTGTTTTGTGGGTAACACACTTGTGTATTCACAGCTACTGATGTCTGCTTTGGGACCAGTTCTGATAACTGCTCATTCATTGTACCTTGTGAGATAAATTATCCATATTGCTCTTTCTCAACAAAATTGTGTAACTGAGCAGCGAATTATTTACCATGGAATGTTCAATTGCTTCTGTCTTCCTCAGGAAATGTAAAATATAAATCAATATAAATTTAGTTCTTGTTTTATTGATTTTATAATAAATTATAAAAAATCCCCTATTTCATAGAAGCTAATTTAACTGATGTTTAGGTTATGATTTGACTGTGTAAGTCCAGAAATACTTTGTTGGTGTTATTCTTTCGGTACACTCTAAGATTTGCTCTAATATTTTATATTACAGGAAGTCTATGAGCAGATCTCCCCTAGTGAAACAAGCAGCCAAGGGACACTGACATGTGCCTTATTTCACATTTTTTTGAAGTATTTGACAGTTCAAAATTAATAAAATGCACATCTGCTATTTTTTTACAAGCAGACCTAGTTCTGACCTGCTTATGGCTCAATGAGATTTGAACAGCTATAAATCACAGCAGGCTTGAATCCATATATTGTTCTTTTCACATCCATCAGATCTGGATCTTACAGAAAATACTTAGTAAATCTGGACACTTGTTTCTTAAAAAAACTAGCTAAAGTATGTGTCAGTGACTGACAGGCTAAGTGTAACAACATTCAGGATTTTTGCTTTTGAAAGGTGTTAATAAAAGAGAAATTTCTCTGTCTAGAAAGTGTTGTGGTGGCATGAATTAATGTGTAGTATTCTGCTCATTTACACCTATTTCCCACAGCTAATGTCACGTGTTTGCTTTGTATTTTTGAGCACATTAGGAGTATGGATGTTCTGAACCACTTTGGTTACAAGATGTAACACTTTTTTAACAAACAACACAATTTTGTCTGCTGCTTTTCTGAGCTCAGTTCCTTTCAAGATTTCACTCCTCCAACTAGGTTGACACCAGCCAATGTCTCTGTTTACATGTGCACTCCAGGAGTGGGGTGACACTGAAAATTCTAAAAAACCATATCTAGATTATACACTTTGAATCTGCATTGCCTTCCCACTAGTAGTGCAGCTGTGTATTTTGTACACATTAGAAAGCAGACACACATACTAATATGCCCATTTATATTCCAAGATACTCCATATATTCAGCAGCTGAAGTTACCTGATTATACAAATGTCAGGATGATACTCTGATTCTAAAGGGTTGAAATGAATAAATGTTGCTAAAAATAGTTCCTTCCTCTCTCCCTGTGGGATAGCCAAGGCAGCATTACTTGCATGCTTTACTCTTTCCAGCAGATGAGATGTAGACTGGAGACAGATGACAGTATTTTTATCTCCTCCTTGGCTGCTGCTACTCCCTCTGCTAGGCAAAGGGGATCTGCTACATTTGGAGAGGATGGAAGAAGACGTTCACTGAAGGTCTGTGGATGTTGGGAGAACAGTGGGTGAGGGGATGCTGAGGTAGACCATGTGTAGTGGTGGTGACATCATTTTCCTGTTAATTTAATTCCATAAGTAAAGTTCTACCAAAATTCTACTGGTCTCCTGATGTCAGGTTATGGCAAGGGAAGGAAGGGAAGAGATTGGTGGCAAGAAGGAAAAAGAAGAGAGAGATCTGACTCTTTCAAGTCCTTCAGATTCACTCCTAACTTTTTAAAGTATCTCAGTACTGAATGATATGATAAGATCTTTCTGGTACAAGTACTGTTAAAAATTCAGATACCTCCAGTCATTGCTATCTATATACACCGTTAACAAACAAAAATTTAAAAAAGTAAATAAAAAAAGGAAACACAAAAAACAAAACCACAAAACCCTAGGGCTTAGAGAAACAAGTCCTTAATTAAGAAGTTTCTTTTTGCTTCCTCACACAACATCCAACATGCTCTTATTGTCACGTAAGATATGCATTCACACCCTGCAAAATACTGAATTAATGTTACACGATTATTTTCAAAATAGTCCTATTTTTCTAAGCAAGTGTTTGTTAAAAATCCAGAAAAGCTAAACCAAATTATACTTATGTCTATATGAAATCCCTATCCACCTTAAGAGTGGATAAAAATTATTGAGACTTACACTGGCATCTTTTTCCTCACAAATTCATGTCAGAAACATAACATTCTAATAGCACATTAACAGAAATAAAACAACTTGTTGTATCATAAAGAGGATCCAAATGGTCCTTTAACAATTTAATAAAATGTTCCCATGTTCAAACTGTGTTTAGGACCTTGTGACCTCACACTGTCTTTGTGCGTATTAGGAAAAAAAAAAAACAAAACAACTTTAACAATATATTTATAACAGGACATGTGTGTACCAAAAGATTGCCTCAAAAGAAGTGAAAACAAATTGTAAATTTTCTCAGTAATAATTCAGACTACAAAAATTCACCAGTAGCATCTGGTAAAATACCAATATAAATATAGCTCTTGGATTTACTACTGATTTTATTAAATTCAATTACTAAATAGAAATCTAGAAATTGCCATAGGTCACAAACTCCTCAAAAGAAGAAAAAAGAAAAAGACCTTGTAAAATCCAACAGTTTCACTCAATTTTTAAAATTAAGACTATGTCAGCAAAATAAAATATATAGTTTGAGTTTAGGTTTAAACTTGGGCATATATAGAGAGAGAGATTGATTTATTTTTTATGCAGAATTGATTATTCCAACTAAGAATTTCACAAGATATTACTAGTGTTGGCACAATTACAGTATTGTGGTTGTATAAATTGTAAGTACAGAACAAATTAACCCTAGAATTTTCATAATTGAGTCAGTTTGAAATTATAGGACATCATATCAGTAGTAAACTCACAAAAAAAAAAAAATACTGCTGTAATATTTTCCAGTTGCTACCAGGACAACTTTGCAAGTATGAACTTCTATAAAGAACATTTCTATAGAGACATTTTTAGATTTTTACTTTGAGCTACAGACAGTTTGTCTTTTGAAAATCAGAATTATCTGTAGAAGATTAATTTGGTTCCCATTAGAGTTTCGGATTTCTTCTTCATCCATAAAATTAACTGCAGTGAACTTCCAGGAGTAAAAAGCTGTCTTTTTTCAGGCTTGAATAAGAGGAGAAATAGTCACTTGTCCTGAAATCTGGCTACAATTAAACACATTGAAGACAAATTAAAAGCTGTAAATGTAAAACTTTGCGTACTTTGTTGTGATCCGTTGTCATACAAGTACTGTACTGTTCAATAAACAATCAGTATATCACCTACATTTCTCTACCATATACTTAAAGTATTATTTAGATAGACCATAAATATAGAATAAAATAGGAAAACACAATATTTACCTTTTCCAACTGTGCATTTTTTTTAGATTTGTATAAAAACTCCCCCACTGCCACAAAGACAGAAAGCACTAATCCTGCTGCCAGCACTATGAAGATTCCTCCAATATTTTGAACTCCCAAAGCACTGGCCTCTTTACTTTCCTCCTCTGGGCAGCCGTTGCCTCTCCACCATTTCTCTTTCATCATGTGGAGCTTCCCCTCCTCCTGCAGCTGAAGAATTGCTATAGTGATTTTGTCTCTATATGGAGAACCTAAAGAGACAACAGGGAATATATATTGCATGGGTGTATTTTAAGGAAAGTGAGTTATTCCTGATGAGAATGAAATATAATATAATGCCACAGGAAAAACTATATCCTCTATAGCTATAATATTTATTGAAAACTATTTACATCTCAACACGATTACACTGGTCACATAAATACAGACCCACATGCACACACATATACAAATATATATACACAAAACTTGATCCAGCTGGTGTTGCCTGTAAGCCAGGAAACTTGATGCAACAAGTCCTATCACACTTAGCCTCATGGTCTCAATCATCTCATGCCCAACTATTATATCCAGTCAAATAGTATTAATCTTTCAATTTCCATCAAGTTTGTAATTATACTGCAGTAGATTTAGTCTATTATAGATAAATCTGCAGATTGTTGTTTCATAGCTTCTTACTCTAAAGATAGTCCAAGGTGTAATATATAAAAAACACTTTATAGTATTATTTTATTAAAAGAAGAAACAATTGTGCTTCAAGACCAAGCCATGAAATCTCTATTTGACAGATTGCCAGGCACTTAAGATACCTTCGAAGCATGCAATTACTTATTAACTGTACCAAGTAGTAATGTATTCAGAAAGATAAGGTTATGTGTGTTTGGATAACAGGGTTGTAAATTTCCATATTTTAATGTCTTTCTTTCTCATAATTCAGTATTTTAAAATTACATGATAATTTTGCAGCTTTTGAATATTTAAATATTTCAAGGGCAGTTCAAAGGGTAATGTCATATCTTTGAATGTCATCTGCTCTCTTTTTCTTTACTTAGTGCATAAGGACTTTTCAATGAGTATTTTTAAATCTATATTAATTAATGAATAATGTCAATGGAGAAAGCTTTTATTTTCTGAATTTTAGGGAGTAAATCACATCAGTTAGAGCTGCTAAGATCTGTGTAAAATTTAAGTACAGAACAAAGACATAATTTTTCTTTTCCTCTTTCAAAAACAGGAACAAAAGGCTCTTCATTAAAGTGGTTAAGAAATCCCAGGGAAAAAAGAAAGAGTAGATGAAAAGGCATGGTATCCCCTCTTTCATGTGATATGAATGCAATTCTACAAAGAATCTCTCCTCTTTTTCTTTTTGTCATAGTGATGTTACTTACTAGCTATAATTTTTACAGTGTTTCCTTTAGCTGAGTAATAAAATGTGTTTTCATTAACTTAATAACTTTTTAAAAAAATAATCCTCAGCATCTTTTAGAGAGACGCTACCCATTTGACTATTTCGTGTACTGTGATCAACTGTGAAGGATCTGAAGGAATGCATACCTGGGATATTTTATACTCATTACAGTCTTGGAAAACATATTTTCATTTAGAATTCCTTTCAATTTATTCTTTATTTCTTCAATTTCTTCTTGCCTATCTAGAGTTTATCATGAGAATAAAGTCAATGGCAAGGGGTTACTGTGCCATCATGGCAGTATAACATAGAAAGGACCATTAATTACAAAACACTCTGGGCTTTTTCTTTATTCAAAAATAAGAAAAAGCTGGCCTCAAGGTAACTTCTTTACTGTAAGTGTGACAGAGCACTGGAACAGGCTGCCCAGGGAGGTTGTGGAGTTTCCTTCTCTGGAGACATTCAAGACCTGTCTGGACACCTTCCCGTGTAATCTGATTTAGATGTTCCTGCTCCGGCAGGGTGATTGGTCTAGATGATCTTTGAGGTCCCTTCCAATCCCTAGAATTCTGTGATTCTGTGTGGTTTTATCATCTACTCTTAGAAGATAACGATATTCTGTACTATGAACTAAACTGTGTTTGCAGAGAACTACAAGAAACAGAAAAAAAGGAAAACAAGCTCTTTTCAACTTTTTTGTGAATTCAGGGACCTAAGTCACACCATTTCAGACCATCCTGATTATGCTGAAAACTCTTCAAAACTCTGTACTTGACACATTTCTTCAGTCAGATGGAAGAAGGAAAGTGATTAGTTCAAAAGAGCCTGGGGAAATATAAGTGCCTACTATAATCTTCTGGGTATATTTTCAGTGTTACACTGCCTATAAATATTTAACAACAACAACTTAAATAACATTAGATGCTGAGAAATAATTTTGGACCCAGTTTAAACCATCTTCTGATCTGACAGGGTGCCTTGTAATTAAACTAATTTACATTTCATATCCACACTTTCTGCTGTTCTAAATATAGGCAGTACCAACTATTCTTCTTTTATTATTTATGTATTCTATGGACCAGATTTATATACATACAGTTCTAGTCCATTTGAACCACTTAACAAATGAATTAACTCAGGAATTCATAGATAGAAACCATAAAGCACAGGCTAATCCTATCTACAGTTAGTTAAGTTTATGAGGATTGCAGTAGAAACATATGGTGAAGTGATTTTGTTCAACAGTATCACTTACTGTTGGTGCTTTGCAAAATTTTGCACAAATAGTTGTGGAGTGGACAGATTACAGGGCCTTTGGTGTTTCTACTGCAGTATTTGTTTTTGTTATATGCTATTATCATGTCTTAAAAAAATGTAACCTTATAAGTAAGGATCAGTGTGTTCCTACTGCAACATCTGTATTTACTATGTCTTATTAGCTTGTCTTAAAAACATTAATCTCACAAGTAAGGATCAATGTGGGATGACCAGCATTACATACTGCTACTGTTAAATTAAACATTTAAAATTTTATACCCATGAAAAAGCTAGCATTCAATGATGTAGTTCTTTTTCTGAATGACTTATAATGATCTAAATTAATTGATTCACATTTTGCAACAAAAAATAAGTATATGTAATAATCTGATATCTGAAAAAAGTTATTTTTAATGCTGTTTACACTGATGCAAGTAGTTATTACATGAATAAAAAAGCATAATAATAATAATACTATTATTTCCTGAGGTTTTATTTGGTCCTAGATTTTTTTCTAGCTAAAAGTATCATGGTCTTATCTGCAGACGATAAAGTCAGAATACAAAAAGAAGAGAAAATAAATAGAGAATACAGACAAGGCATCCAGATTTTGCTCTGGATCTTAAAACAGTTTTCCTTGCAGAAATGAAAAATTTCAGCAAGTAAATCTAAAAGATTTTTGACATTTACCGGTAATTTTCACTATCATTCCTATAACATGACAGAAAAATGAATAAGCCCTTCCATAAGGTGTTGCAAGAAGGCCACATCCTGTTTTTTTACAGTTTTTGTTGTTTTTTTTTGTTTGTTTGTTTTTTTTAGAAAAAAAAACCAAACCAAAACAGAAAACACAGAAACTTTAAGGCTCATAGAAAATATACAGGAATGCATTTGCAAAATAAATAAAGTATGAATAAAAGTAAATTAATAAAGCAGAAGAAAAAAAAAAGAGTCAGAATGTGGACTTCACATCTGAACCTTCAATAAAAAGACAAGTAGTTAATAAAAAGCCTTACCAGTCTGTGCATGAGGGGAACACTAGGAGGGGACAGGCATAGTGATATTTAAAACTCCATCCCAAAATCAGGGAAAAAGATTAGTATATAATCTTCCATTGAGTGAAGAGAAAGCGAGAAGTCCAGTGCAGAAATATCTGACTTTTTCTTCCCTCTCTTTTCCTGATTCCTACTGCTTTAATTTCTCTATCAACTGATAAACTATTCCCATGACAAACTTGGACAGGAGGACCTACAGACCATAATCTATACATTATTTGCTGATCTCATTCTAGCTGCTATTTGCAGGGATGAGAATTTCTGACAGAAGAATTTTGAGACCTTCTGTTATAGGTTATAGAGACCTTAGTGCCTTCCTATGTTTAACAAATTTAATAAGGGATGAAATAATTTATATTTGCAGTTACGAGCTTATGAAAATTTAAAATTAAAATGAAAATTTTCATAATATTATATTGTCTGAAGCATCTGTAAAAAACTAAGATAACAAAGTCTCAGAAACGCTGCAGAAGTTATATATAGATAAGTTTTCTGCCCTGAAGTCTCAGTATATAAAGATTTATGCACATAATGATATGTTTAGTCATAAATTATGAACACATAAGCTTTATATATTGAGACTTCACTGCATAAAGACCAGGATGTTAAAATCCTGCTGATCTGATTGGTGTTGAAAAGGCTTCCTACTAGATTATAATTTAGCCTGGTTACTCTTCATCTGTTTTATTCATTCCACCAAATACAAAAGTAGTTGGAGCATACTAGGACCTGAAGAACTGAATTTGACCCTGAGCAAGTCAAAAGGAATAGCAGCATTCCATTAACTCCTTCATTAAGAAAATGTTGAACCAGGAACTTTTTTGTTTCATCATACCAGGTGCATTTTACCAAAAGAAATCACCATGAATATTCTGGTATTTTGAATGCTGGTGCCCATGAGACATAGTTACATGTTACTTCTGATTTACTAGACAGAAAAATCCACTCTAAACACCCCT